GTCCTCAAATGTTTGACAAATTGAAGTGTGAATGTTGAACACCTTTATGTGAAGGTTGTACCGATTTCACAAAATTGTCTGCAGTGTTGAAACTGTATAACTTGAAGGCAAGAAATGGGTGGAGCGACACAAGCTTCACAAAACTGCTTTTACTTGTTAAGAAAATGCTACCGAAGAAAACAAGTTTCCAAGCAAAACGTATAAAGCAAAGCAAGTGTTGCGCTCTGTCAGCCTCAGCTATCAGAAGATACGCGCTTGCCCTAACGATTTCATTTTGGTTAGGAATGAGTATAAGTCACTAACTAAGTGTCATAAGTGTAATGCGTGGTGCTACCCAAGAGAATGGAAAGAGCCTGAAGAAGGCATTATGGCCTTTTCCCATTGTGCCAAGATTCAAGTGCTTGTATAATAATGTAGAAGATGCGAGAAATTTAAGGTGGCATGCAGATAAAAAGATTAAGATGGCATGCTTCGGCATCTGCTGATTCTCTAGAATAAAAGAAGTCTGATATTAAGTATTCTAAATTCGGGGAAGAAGATAGAAATCTACGCCTTGCATTAGCCACCAACGGAATAAACCCGTATGGGATGCAATGCAGCACCCATAGCACATGGCCAGTGATTTTGTTTATATATAACCTTCATCCATGGCTATGCATGAAACACAAGTATTCGATGATGTCTATGATAATCTCTGGGCCAAAGCAACCGAGAAATGACATAGATATATATCTAGCTCAATTAATTGAAGACTTAAAAGTATTGTGGGAGAATGGAGTTGATGTATATGATGCATATAAGAAAGAAACATTCAAGTTGAGAGCTATGTTGTTTGGCACAGTTAACGACTTCCCTGCGTATAGTAATCTCTCAGGGTATAGCATTAAAGGACAACTTGGTTGTCCCATTTGTGAAGAGAGCACAGATTCTATAAGATTGAAGCATGGAATGAAAAATTCATATATGGGACATTGTAGATGGTTGTATCGTGATCATCCTCCTACCGGCGATCTAAAAAATATTTCAATGGGAATTCAGAAGAAGGTAAGGCACCTATACCGTTGACTAGGGAGGATGTATTTCAAAAGGTAAAAGATATAGATTGTGAATTTGGAATACCTTTGACGAGGCATGTTAGGACAAGTGGGTGGAAGAAGAGGTCTATTTTCTTTATCTTGCCGTATTGGGTAACCCTAAATGTGAGACATTTCTTGATGCTATGCATATTGAGAAAAACTTATGTGAAAATCTTTTCGGCACATTGCTTCATATTCCCGAGAAGACTAAAGATGGCACAAATGTGAGGCTAGACATGGTTGAGATGGGGATAAGGCAGGAATTGGCACCAGAGGATAAGGGAACTTGTACATTTCTTCATCCAGCAACTCACACACTTTCTCGAAAAGAGAAAAGTAGCTTTTGTGAGTTTCTTGCTGCCGTAAAAGTTCTGTAAGGTTACTCTTCTAACATTAGTAACCTTATTTCAATGAAGGATTTGAAGTTAAAAGGTTTAAAATCTCATGATTGTCATGTGTTGATGGAAAACTTTATTCCAATGGCAATACAAGCTATTTTACCTAATAAGGTGTGAGTTACGATAATGAAGTTATGTTTCTTCTTTAAGTCTCTTTGCAGCAAAGTGATTAATCCTAGTAAATTGCCAAGATTGCAAACCCGAATCATAGTTACGTTATGCGAACTTGAAATGTATTTTTCTCTGGCCTTTTTTGACATCATGATCCACCTAACCGTCCATTTAGTTAGAGATGTCCAACTGTGTGGCCCAGTGTTTTTAAGATGGATGTACCCAATTGAGTGTTACATGAAAATATTGAAAGGGTATGTAAAAAACTGGAGTCGCTAGAGGGTTGTATCGTAGAACGATATATTTGTGAAGAGGCCACTGAATTTTGTACCCATTACTTAAAAAATGCAAGTGATATAGGGGTTTCAGTGTCTCGTCATGAGGGAAGGACGGACGTAGAAGTGATTATGGGAAAGAAAGTTGTAACTATTTCAAATCAACAGTGGAAGCAAGCACATCTATATGTATTGCACAACTCTGAAGAGATTGAAGACTATGTGGACAAGCATATTAATGAGCTTAAGAGGGATAATCCCAATAAACTTGAAAGTTGGTACACCAAAACATACAATAAACAATTTACAGCATGGTTGAGAGAGCACGTGCATGGCAACTATAATATTGATTCTAATTCTGTTTCGAAGAAATTAAAGTTGTTGGCAAATGGACTGAGCAAACATGTGATTTCTTTCACAAGCTACCTTATCAATAGGTTCACTTTCTATACTAAAAAACAAGATGATTGGAGTAAACAGCAAAATAGTGGCATAACTCCTATAGCTAATATGATGCATATATCAAGTGTCAAAGATAAAAATCCTATCTATGCACGTATGTCATACTTTGGGGTGATTGAGGATATTTGGGAGTTGGATTACATTGAATTCAGAGTTCCGGTATTTGGTTGCAAGTGGGTGGACAATAATAATACATTGAGAATTGATGACTTAGGGTTCATACAATTGAATTTGAATAAGGAAGGATACAAGGAAGAGCCTTTCATTTTGGCTTCTCAGGCTACACAAGTTTTCTATGTCCCAGACCCGACTACTAAAAGATAGTCTATTGTTTTCTTGACCAATAAAATGAATGAGGAGATGGGGTATGAAGACAATGCAGTTGAAGATGATCCATTTCAAGGGACATCACTTGAATCTCATTTAAATGAAGATGAATCCATGTACATCAGGCACAATCACAACAACGGAATTTGGATTTTAAAGAGGGGGAAAGTGTTTTGTAAGAAGATCAAAACAATTCAAACCAAGAAGAATATACAAAAACATAAGAGTAGAAAAAGGAAAAGATTTACTTAAACATACATGTAAATTCTTTTATTATTCTTGATTGAAAACTTTATTTGTTTTAATTTTGTTTAAGTCAATTTCATTATTAATAACTTTATTTTCATTTAATGGTTTCTAATTCATTTTGTTTGATTGAATTTCATTGCAGATGGCAGACGATAGTGGATCGAGCATTGACAATCCTTCTCAGCCTGGGGATGCCTCCGACCAGGAGAGACAGGTGTGGGAAGAGGCAGCACGCATACAGAGGGGGCTTTGTGTCATGCAAGAGTTGATGAAAGCTCAGATGGAAGGAAAGAAATTTGCCATATAGTGGAATAAGAAAGGACAAGCTATACAGTCAAATAAATTTATCAGCTACATTGGGACAGTGGCATGAAGCACCGTGCCTATTACAGTGCAGTATTGGAGGAGGGTTGATCGTTTAGTGTGGGATGCTCTTTGGACAGATGTATTAGTAAGATATTATAACAACTCAAGTTTCATTTTCTGACAAGCTACCTCACACTAATGAGTTGTTTTGTGTGTTTTCCAGTCTGGATTTGATATAGATGAGAGCAGGAAGAAGTTTGTGGAGGGGAAGGCTAGGAGGGCACTGTGGTCTTTCTGCTATTTTGTGACACACAAGTACTTGAAGGATCCTTCCATAGTCAACGAGTCTGAGGTTCCTAACTTGATACGGGACTTGGTCAAACCAGACAATTGGGCTGCTTTTGTGACGTCACGTTGTGATAGTCAATTTCAAGGAATAATCCTCATGTAATTCTAAATTAAATAGTCCGTTTTCTTTAATGTATATATTTTTGAACTAGAATCTTATTTGTTTTTGCAGGAATTAAGTGTCTAAAATATGGAAAGGGTAAAGAAGAATCAATATCCCTACCGAAAAGGGTGCTTGGGTTATGTGGACCTCAAGAAAGAGGTGACTCAGAAGGAGGGATCAGATGTCACTGTATCCCGTCAGATGCTGTGGGCATTGGCTAGGCAAAATAAAGATGGCCAAATTGATAATCCTCGCGTTAAGGAGGTCGTGGACAGGATGGTGAGTTTTATTTTAAATTAAATAATCCTCATGTTATCAAACATCTCAAAGTATGAATTCTAACAATGTTTGTTGAGTAGGAGAGTTTGTCCCAAGAAGTTTCACAAGAGGCACATTCTGTAAATGACCAGGATATATTGACGAGGGCATTGGGGACTCCTGATCATCCTGGTCTTTTTAGAGGCGTCGGTTATGGAGTCACCAAGAGGGATTACTTCGGGTACCAATAAAAGCCCTCTTCGTCATGCACGCCTTCCTCTGTTGAGTTTATGGAGCTGAAAGAATAAACGCACTGGTTAAAGGAGCAAGTTGAAGTGCAAACATGCCTAATCGAGCAGTTGATTAAGAATCAAGCACCACAGCTGCTCCAAATCTCAGCCCAAGTGGCAAAGATAGCTATACATTCCCCTTACTACCTGAGGTATAATACTTCTTGTGTTTATATGATTACATTCACTTATTTTCATATCACACTAACTTGTCTCTTATGTTAAATCAGGGTAAAGCAAACGTTCAGTCTATGGCAGATGGCCCTAAACATCACACTGTTGCAATGGCCTGCATGTTCAATTTACCAGGGGAGAGCATGATTCATAATGTGCCTCTCCCTGCTGATCATGTGAGGGTGTAGTTGAACATTGCTATTGATCCTAATTATACCCTCTTGATACCCACCTCAGATGCAGAGACAATGGCTCAAGCAGTGGGTAGCTTTGTTGCTTGGCCTGGCCGTCTTCTTACATTAGGACATCCTTCAAAGGTATATATGTATAGGTTGAAACATTCAGTTGATTTAAAATAAACTTTGTTTTAATTACAAACAGTCTGTTTGTTAGTCTACGAGGAAGAAGAAGAGCCTATTGGGCCATCACTCATTATCGTTGCTACAGAAGCAGCCCTCTGAGCTCGTTCAAGCGGTATCATCAAGACTCCAAATATGTCTTGAGGAATATGTAGTTGGAGCCAGATTAGAACATGGCGAGGATTTCATGCTTCCCCTAGAGTTTGAGCCAAAGGTCAATGGTCGACCCTCGTCAGAGTACGTCACAAATGATGTATTGAAAGAAATTTCGATGCATGGAATGGCTAGAACAAATGCCTGTAACTTTATATCAAGTGTTAAAACCTTAACTATACTTAAGTACTTGAACATTTATTCTATTAATATCTTTGTTTGTTGATTTCGGTATCTTTTCAAGAACTTTATAGTTCCTAGTGGCCTTCATGACAAGTTCAAGATTATTAGCCCCCACACTTTTGCTAGCCACAGACCTAATACGAAGAAGAAAGACTTATCCAGAGACTTGGTGGATATCTTCATTTCTAGGGCAGCAGGGCCTCAGACTTTGTTTTTGGCGCCTTACTGTCAAGGGTACGTACGTTGTATACTGAACTTTCTTAGATTCTTTTATTTTCAAATATTTTGTAATTATTCTAATTGTCTTTCTTATAATTAGGGTACACTAGATGCTGATTGTGGTCGATCCCATGAAGCTGAGGATTTGGTATCTCGATTCTCTTCATGAGGATCCAACCAATCGACTATTTATGGTTTCATTATTTAATAAGTAACATTTATATTTATTATTTAAATTTAATTTAATTTAATTTCTTGCTTCAATCTAATTTTTGACAATCATTAATATTCAATTTTATTGTCTTCTCAGGGCTTTGTGGCTATACCGCACAAATCAAGCCTTACCCTGCCCCCCGTACAAAACGGCCAATTTGACGATACCTTCCCGTGGAAGAAAGTGAAAGTATTCATTACCATTATTTACTACTCTATTAAATATGATTTATATATATGATTGACTAATATTATTTCCTTTTCCATTCTTTATAGTGCTTGCGTCAACCCAAAAAAAGCTTTGATTGTGGGTATTGGGTGATGAAATTCATGAAAGAGATAATTATGCATAATGCTGACACAATCCCTACACAAGTAATATGCATTTAATTTGTTAAAGTTTAATTTATATACTTTAGAATTATACTTACTAGTGTAGCTTTATTTTTATATCTAACTTCAATTTGGTTTTGCATACAGTACTTTCCCAACACATATTGCACTGTATATTCATCCGTCCAAATGGAAGATATCATTGAAGAGCTAGCAATGGCTTTGTACCATCAGTGGGTACAAAATAGATAGGGAAGAAGTTGAATTGAAGAGCTGTTGTGGTTTTGGGCATTTGGCAAATTTTGGTTTTGGAATTGGTTTTTTGCTTTAGCCTTTTCTCCTTGTCCAAATTAAAATTTTGCTTTGACTTGACACAATACAATTGTATGACATTTGGTTTGTTAATTACGTTATTAACATGTATATAATGTAAATTTCTGTGTGTCTGGTGCATGGTTACATTATATTCATATGACTGAATTATTGCTTGCTGTATATTGGTTTGAAACTTTGAATGCTGGCCTGGTCCTGTCTTTCATAAAATGTCGCTTTGTATGAATTTTTAAAATGCAAGGGGATTGTTGGAAAAGCAGTGCCCGTATTAATAATAATAATAATAATAATAATAATAATAATAATAATATTAATACTTGACGGTTATTGGTTAAAACCGTCAAGTAAATTGAATAATACTTGACGGTTCTAACTATAACTGTCAAGTATTAATGAATACTTGACGGTTTTAACAGTAACTGTCAAGTATTCCCAGAATATATTTGACGGCTTTCCTTTAAAATCGTCAAATACAGTCGATTATGTTTGACGGTTTTAGTTGTGGAACCGTCAAATATTATCAATTATATTTGAAGGTTAGTAACCGTCAAATATTTTTTATAGGAATATATGACGCTAGCATACTTGACGGTTTTTAACTGTCAAATATAACCAAAAATAACCGTCAATTATTCTGTTTTTTGTAGTAGTGAAAGGTGAATTCATTCTGCTTCTGACTCAAATTGGAAAGTATTATTGTATCTGTCAGAATAGATCTCAATGATAATATGACTTTAACACCCCTCAATTTTTTTATAAATATATTTAATCTTATATTTTATAAATATATAGACACATATTAATTATTTATTAATTACATTATCTTATATATTATTAATTATGTTGGACAAAAATATATTATTAACAAATTTATTTCTTGAAATTAAAATATATTTTTTTAGTAATTTATATATATATATATATAAAGTGCTTCTAATAACAACTATCTAAATACTCTCACTTTATCAAAATCACTTTTTCACAAAATTTATTCTTCAAAAAATCTATTCTCTCAAGAATATATTCTCCAAAAACTATTCTCTAGATCATAGTTTGGTTTCATCCAAATACCTCCAAATCTAATCCAATTCCTAACTAGCTAGAACGTTTTTTTTTTTTCCTTCGTGCAAGCCTCCATGAATGAAATTGAAGAAGCCATTGTTGCCTCTCTGTTCAGAAGGCAAGTTTGACATAAGTGAGTGCTTGTGCTTGAAAAGAGGAATCCACTATATTAATTATTTAATTTCACGCATCATATCATGTCATATCCAATTCCAGCCAATATATCTGCTTCGATATAAAAAATAAGCGAAATAAATAAACTTAAATTATCAAATTAATATATGCTACATAAAATAAAAATAACAAATACTATGTCTAGTCTTTATTATAAGAGTTTGTTTGACTTTTATTTTGATCTTAAACATAAAACCTTAATCTATTTTGTCTCTCATATTTATTTTTTTTTTAAAAAAATAGTTCTTGAAATAATAATAGTTTTAACCAATACACTTGAATAGTAATAACATTTTAGGAAAGATAATATCTATTTATTATAAATAAATAATATAATTAATTTTTTTAATATACTCAAATTAGTTAATTAGCTCTTATGTTAACACTGGAGGTAGTATTAAAAGATATTTAGTAAGGGAGCCCGTAAAAAAGTAATAAACGTTTATACATTCTGATTTTCTTTGTTATTTTCAATTCTATAGGTCATGTTGGCAAAAGCTCCATTCTCACCAAAGTTGGACGTAAAAGTTTTCCAACGATGCGCGCGCGCACGTGCGCCCGCACTCACAGGCTAAAAAAAAAAAAAACCTACCATTATTTATCTATATATAATTATTTAATACTCCCTCCGTTCCTTATTATAAGAGACAGATAACCAAATTACGTTGATCAAAAAAACAGTTAAAATTAGTTGAGGACAATTAATATGTAAAAAGTATAATATTTTTTCCAACAATGCCCTCATTAATAAGGAGAGAGTATGAGAGAGAACAATTAAATTATTAAAAGAAAGAGAAGTGAGAGGGAGAGAGAGTATGAGTTGGAGACAAAATAAATAGGGGTAAAATAGAAAATCAATACAAAAAAATATAGACAAGTTTTAAGTGTCTCTTATATATGGGAACATGCTATAAACATCAAATGTCTCTTATAATAAGGAACGGAGGGAGTATTATCTCTGATTCTTAATATAAAAACTAGTTAAGAACCAGAAGTAGTGTCATAAATGCAATTTGCCTTTTAGTGATCATAGATAACTTTTCCGGTTCTCCTATGCAAAATCTTTTTATAAATTATTGAGTTAATATAATCTTTGATCTTTTAAATTTATCTTTATTTTGGTTTTAGTCCCTTAAATTTCAAATTATAAGTTTCGGTCTCTCAAGAGGCAAAATAGTCTAAGTCTTTATTAAATTATAGGGATTAACTAGAAAATTTTCCCTGTGTGATGCACGGATTAGCATATTTAATTAGATTTAAAATTCTAATATATCCATTGTAACTTAAGATTTACTTTTTATAGGAGTATGATTCTTTTATTCATTCAAATAGAACTTAAATTAGAAATGTGGAATTTAGGAAGAATAGATAAAATTTTAAAATTATTTATTTATTTCTCTATTTAAGCCTCTAATTCATATACTTTTTAATTATGATGCTTCATATTTAATGCAATATATATTCAAATCCTAATTAAGATGCTATTCAAATTCAAAATTAATTAATAATTTCTTCTTTTGAGCCCTTAATTGAAATTTTATTTATTTACAATGTTTCTTATTTAATTCAATATATTCAAATTTCAATCAATATGTTATTCAAATCTTATTAATTGAATATATTCGGATCTAATAATATCATATCTGACCCATTTTTGAACAAATTGGGTATTACAAGTTTTCAAAAGTATAATTGATGATTGATTAGTTGATTGATGATTGATGTTTTAAATGAAAAGAACTTAAGAGACCAAAACCTACAGTTTAAAACTTGAGAGACTAAAACCAAAATAAGGACACCAAAATTATATTAACCCTAAATTTTTTTTGATAAAAATTTCGTCCTTTGTTGTAATATTTTCAAATATTTAATTTTAAATTTTCATTATTAATAGAATATTTAAAATTTTAAATTCCCGCAAATCATATTAGATATTTATTATTAAATGGATTAGCTGGTTTTTTTTGGGCAAATTGGGAATAAATACCCTGTTGAGAAACTAATTGGCAAATAGGACCTAAGGACTTTGAACAAGTGAACTTCCGTTGTGTACAAGTGATCTTCCATTTTTGTGCAACTGATCTTCCGTGTGTACGCAACTGATTTTCCATGTGCGTGCAACTGATCTTCCGTGGTGTGCAACTGATCTTCCTTAGGTGCAACTGATTTTCTTAGGTCCCATTTGCCAACTAATTTCTCAATGGGATATTTATCCCCAATTTTCCCTTTTTTTCCTTTTAAATTAACATTTCTGGTTTCTGAATTTTATTTTTTCTCAAAAATCCCAAATAAATTATATTTGAAACATCAAAATTTAATTTAGGCCTATACTTTTAACAGAATCCTAATCAGGCTAAGAGACCAAATTAAGAATTTGTAAATATTGTTAAAAAAACCAAAATACCCCTCTACATGGTTAAAAAAAAGTTCAAGGCAGGTGCAAGCTTTATTTTGTTTTTGATGGTTTTTAGCTGCCTAAGGGTAATCTAATCTTTTGACAACATGCGGAAATATTTAATAAAAATTTGTTAGAACTGTACGTCCAAATTAAAATTTTGGTGAACTAAATTTAATTGGGGTTCTCCTTTTCTTTTCTTTTTTTTCTTTTGTTTTTTCTTTGCTAGCAGAATATTAACTTATTAAGTGCTTCTTTGTTTGGGGGGCGTTTGTCGGAAAAGTAGTTTATATGTATGCTAAGTTAGTTTGCAAATTTAGAAGCTATTTGTAATAGTTTTTTCTTGTCAATTTAACTTATAGGTCTGAAGTTTTTTTTTTTTTTAAACATGATTACAAAAACACTTAAAAATTACTTATAACTGCTACAAAATCAGTTTTTTAGAGTTAAAAGATATTTTTACCCTTATATTTATATTGTTTTTATACTTCTTTATATATTTATTATACTTCTTGATCAGTTTTTAGGTATTTATTTTTAATATTCTTTTAAATAAAAATAATTTTTAATATTTTTATAATATTTTTAATTTTATTTTTATTTTATATTAACATAAATTGTCTAGAGTATATCATCTAATTACTTATATAATATTATTTGATTAAAAAATTTTCAGGTTACTATGCTTTCTAATTTAAATCTATTTTGTTAATTAAATTTAATTTCTTCCTATATAGTGATTTAAAATTATTATATTTTATAAATTCATATTTTTAATCATTTTTATTATTTATCTTACGGTACTACTTCACTCTTACGGTACTACTTCACTATTGAGCATCTAAAAGTATTTAGCCTTGCAAGATGGTCCTTAGTGATTTATACGGGATTCAACGTGCCTCACGCTACTCGAGTTAGAATGTAAGTAAGCTAGTGATGCTTTCAAGTAAGAAGAATCATATTCATTTTGGTCATCTTACAAATTAAACTTATTCATCTAATTACAATCCAAACAATTTTTTTACTTTATAAACTAACTTTTATAAAAATTAATCTAAATATAAATTATATTATCCAATCTTATTTTTCTAAAAATTATATTAAATATATATTTTTTAATCATTAGTCCAAATCGACCCTAAAAAAATCGACCCTTAAAAAACCGACCTTAAAACGCATTTCTCTGCTGCCCGCTGACCAATCCCCGTCGCGGTCCTTGCATAGAGTCATAGACAGAGTTGTATGGTCAAATGCTCAGTCCGTCCCTCATCTGGCTCATCTTCAGTTCCCCCCCCCCCCCGGGGGTCACAATCGCAGTCGCAGCTTAGCTGTCGAGTCGAGGTCCTCTTCTTCCTCCGCGGCTCCTGTCTCCGTCAGCGGCGTCCCTTGGCTCCATAATAAGAAAAGGCGGCGAGAGGAGGATAATCACCAAACGCACAAGGTCCTCTTCTTCCCCCACTTTTCTCTCTGTTTCCTCACGGATTTTTTTTTTTTGTGGGTATTTTGTCTTAATGCCTCTGCGTTTAAACAATCCATTATCATTTTACGAGGGAACCAGAAGATTTACTGATTTATGGACAAACTAGAAATTTCTCCTAGTGTGATATACAGATTAACCTATATGATTATATTTAAAAGTTTAATAAATTACATTATCTAAGATAGTTTAAAATTTAATTCTAATAGGAATATATTTTTTTATTCATTTTAATAGAATTTGAATTAGAGATACAGAATTTATGGCTAATAGATAAAAATTTAAAATTATTTATTTATTTCTCTATTTAAGCCTTTTATTGACATACTATTTAATTATGACACCCTCATTTAATTTAATATACTCAAATTTCAATTAAAATATTATTCAAATTGAAAGTTAATTATTAATTTTTTTATTTGAATTTCTATTTGAAATTGTATTTATTTATAATGTTTCCTATTTAACTCAATATATTTAAATCTCAATTAATATATTATTTAAATCTTATTAATTAAAGATATTCGGATCTTATAATCTTATATCCGACTCATTTTTAAACGAACCGGGTATTACAAGTTTTCAAGAATATAATTTATTGATGATATTAAAAATTATAATTTTAAACAATTTTGTTATTAATTAATTTTCTTACGATTTGATGAAGCTTTGGTCTTTAGAATCTATCTATTATACGTTTAACATCATTCTAACATTAGTTTTAGCGATCTGGGTCATTTGCATAATCAAACGACTGATATCTCTGCGCAGTTCGGGGGTCTTCAGGCCGCTCTATTCTCCTCTCATCTTTGTGCACTCAGTGTGCGAGGGTTTATCACAAGGGAGAGAGGGTTTTGGTTACATTTGGCTCACTTCACTTGGATATGGCGTCTTTCACGGTGATTCAACGTGCACGAAGCACAATGCTCTCTTCCTTCCTCAAAGTACGCCATGACATACAACCTTCTTGTTTCATCTACGGCAATTACTATAATCAAATCCTAAGTAAAGCTCTGAGCACTTCCGGCAGCCCAAATGAGTATCAGAGAACTCATCCTCATCAACCACCATCCGACCCCAGAGCTTTTCGGGATCACAGAGACCCAAACCAGTGGGACCCGCGATGGCAGGGTGGTCCTCAAGGCAGGAGCTCTGAACAATCGAACCCACTTGCCCAAAACCAGGGGTACGTTCAACAAAGGAATCCCAACTATCGAGTTAATAGCGTTCAGAACGCTCCGGATCGATATCCTCTTAATCAGAGTCAGATTCCTCAGAAGAGGGAGTATCCTGATTCAGGGCGGCGATATGCTCCGCAAGGAAACCCTAATCAATGGAATCCTCCGAATCAGAGTTGTCCCCAGTATCCAGGGCCAAATCAGGTGAGCCCTCAGAACCCTAATTTTCAGCAGAGGACTCGACCTAATGGATTGACCAATCAAAACCAGGAATACCCACAAACTGGAAGCCCCAACGAGTTTAGCAGTCGGACTCAATGGTACCCTCAAAATGGACATGCAACTAAATCAGTTCCTCAATTTCAGAGTCCTAATCAGTTGGGCAATCAAGTTCCTAATCAAGGGCAAACCATTGAAAGCCAATCTCCATCTTCTCCGCCTCCGTCCATTATTGATTTGACCCGATTGTGCCAGGAGGGGAAGGTTAAGGAAGCTATTGAAGTGATGGATAGAGGGGTGAAAGCTGATGCTAACTGTTTTGATACTCTCTTTGATTTGTGTGGTAAATTAAAATCTCTTGAGGATGCGAAAAAGGTCCATGATTACTTTTTGCAGTCTACATTTAGGAGTGATCTCAAATTGAATAATAAGGTGCTTGGGATGTATGGGAGGTGCAAAAGCATGACGGATGCCCGCAGAGTGTTTGATCATATGGCCAATAAAAATATGGATTCATGGCACCTGATGATTTATGGGTACACAAATAATACCATGGGAGATGAGAGCTTGCAGTTGTTTGAGCTGATGAAAGAGCAGGGCTTGGAACCTACTTCAGAGACTTTCTTAGCGGTGTTATCAGCTTGTGCTAGTTCAGAAGCTGTGGAGGATGGCTACCTTCATTTTGAATCCATGAAAAGTAAACATGGAATTGAACCAGGGGTGGAGCATTATATGGGGCTTCTAGATGTTCTAGGTCAATCTGGGTATCTTAAGGAGGCTGAAGAATATATAGAGAACTTGCCATTTGAGCCCACAGTGGCTGTTTGGGAGAGACTGAGGGATTATGCTCGGACACAGGGAGATATTGATCTTGAAGACCAAGCTGAGGAGTTGATGGTTAGCCTGGATCCATCGAAGGTTGTAGCCAATAAGATCCCTACCCCACCACCAAAGAAGCGAACTGCAATTAGCATGCTTGATGGAAAGAACAGAATTATTGAGTATAAGAACCCTACCCTTTACAAGGATGATGAGAAGCTAAAAGCCTTGCGTGAAATGAAAGAAGCAGGATATGTTCCTGATACGAGATATGTTCTTCATGACATTGATCAAGAAGCAAAGGAGCAAGCCCTGCTCTACCACAGTGAGCGTCTAGCAATTGCCTATGGTCTTATTAGCACACCTCCAAGAACTCCTCTTAGAATTATAAAGAATCTCCGAGTATGTGGTGACTGTCATAATGCCATCAAGATCATGTCCAGGATTGTTGGAAGGGAATTAATTGTCAGAGATAACAAAAGGTTTCATCATTTCAAGGATGGTAAATGCTCTTGTGGGGATTACTGGTGAAGGTTTTATAACTCCGCATTCTGCTTTTTATTCCCTTTGCTCGCTGCAGCTTATTGGCTTGCCAGAAAGTAGTCGTGCGCGAGAGCCTCGGTACTGCCAGGGATACGAATTTAACTGTGCTCTGATGTAGAATGTACTTACTTCTTCCCATGATAATCGATTTTGTTAAATTTTGTTTTCTTTTAATCACTTTTGAGATCTGCCAATTCTTTCTACTTCAACTCAGAGTTGCAGTATGCACTATTTACCATCGTAACTCAACCTCATACCTCGTTGTATGTCGTTATATAGCATCTATAAAATTGTAGGCCATAGGAACAGTGTCTTAATTGGTGCCACTTGCATTTTTGGCCTTGTTCACATTTGCTCTTAGTTTTTACAAGTCATGATACGGTCATGACTTTGTTGTCTCTGAATAGCCAAGGAATTGAGTTGGTTTTGACAGATTATAAAACTCAGCACTTCAGTGTTTTAGGCTCTTGTTTTCTAGATCTTGAAGCCTGATGGATAAGAGTATGTAAAGACAATGTTTCCTCTTCAACTAAGCCATGATTAGCAAAGTATATAAAAGATTTTACCGCAAAAAATTGAAGTATTGTTACAATTTTGCAGTTTAAAGGGTTAGTTGAGTGACACTTTCTGTTGCTTCTTATTATTAAATTATGGGCAGTACAGTTCTTGAAATTTCAAATCTTTAATGGTTATTCTCTCTTCTATTTCTCATTTGTGCATTGGTGCCATTATTGATCATCTCACCTTATCTCTCTTGCATCAATATTTCACCAGGTCTTGAATATTTATGGATTAAATTCATGTGTATTAGGAGGTGAGAGTCATTGTTGGGAAGTGTATGGCCTTTTGTTCTATATTCTTCTGAGGAAAGTGTTCGCATCGATCAGTTAAAATAACTGTTCATGGTCCTCTATTTCTTTTATTTTATCATTGATACTTTTTAATCAGATGTTTGTTGAAGTTCCTCTATGGAGATTTCAACCTAAAAAGTTTCTAAGTTGCACAACTTGGCAAAAGTTGCCTACTTCTTTTTCATATTTAAACTTCAAATTACCTATAATTTGTCACTTGTGATTTTAAATGAAATCTCTACGTAGATTGACATTATCTTGTCAAAGCAATATATATTATGAAAAATCAAGTGATTCCGTGTTCCCTCATATTGTTACTCCTAAAAGAGCTAGCTTTGAAGATAATTTCGGGTACCTGCTGCTCTGTCTGCTTCACACGTCAAGATAACAAGCTGACATTGCTAGTTTCAAAGGGATTATTGTCCGTGGTAAATATATCAGGGATGTGGCTATATTATAAGCATTTTAGCTTTAGCTGAAGGCTTCTCTACACCTACCTTTACATCTAAGTCTTTTTTCTATTATAGAGAGTTTGTTTCTCAGCAAAATGACAGAAACATTTGATACTTAAATTTGAAAATTTTCATATAGTTACTTGAATAATAAAAATTTTTTTTAATCATATATGACCAATTAAGAATTTTTAAATTTACTGAAATGAACATCTTGCCCTTTGTAATTTTTCAAAAAAAGAGAGAGAAGAGGTAACAACTCATTTTATGTAGTTAATAAGTTTTTTAATGCTATTAACAAGCTTATTATTACCTTTAACAATAGGTCAGAGAAGTTGTAAGAATATCATTTTTTTTATTTTCTAGAAAACTTATTGTTAAAGGCCGTAATAAACTTGTTAATAACGTTAATTAAATTGTTAAGTGCGTCACAATAGTTATAAAATTTTCCATTTATAATGTTATGATTATTGTGAGAAATTATTAGATCACATGGTTAATGACATAATGCGAGTTATTAATATAGTTACACAACTTGTTAACAGTGTTGCTAAAGTAATAAATTGCTACTTTTTTAATTTCCTAAAAAATCCATTATTAAAAGTGATAATGAACTTGTTGATAGTATTAAAAAACTTGTTAATCATACTATAGGAATTGTAAGATTTTTTATTTCTAATGTCATGACTAATCTCTCCAAGTGTATGAAGCTCTCAGATCATGTAATTAATAGCATTAAGCGAGTTAATATCGTTATATAACTTGTTAATAGTATTATTAAAGTTGTAAAAGTGATACTTTTTTAATTCTCTAAAACACATGTTGTTAAAAACGTTAAAAACAATGACAAAATTGTTAATAACATTAAGGAACCTGTTAACTTCCATTATAGTCGTAAAATTTCTCATTTATGATGTCATGACTAATCTTTCTAAGTGAAATAAGCTCTCAAATTATGTGGTTAATAGCATTACATGACTTGTTAACAGTGTTACTAAAGTTATAAAATACTACTTTTTTAATTCTCTAAAAAATCAGTTGTTAAAGGTGATAAAGAACTTGTAAATAGTGTTAAAAAAAAAAACTTATCAATCATGTCAAATAGCTGTTAACCTATGTCTGCTTCTCTCTTTCTTTGAAAATTACTCAAGGTAATATGGTTATTTCAATAAATTTAAAAATTCCTAATTAGTCACATATGACTAAAATGAAATTTTCATTGTTCAGGTGATTATTCAGAAATTTTTAAATTTAAGTATTATTTTTCTGTTATTTTTTTTCCTTGTTTCTGATGTCTTTTTTTTTCTTCTAATATTTGTCAATTGTAAAATAGTTTCTTTCTCACAGTGGCATTCTGTGTTGAAATGAAATGTGCTCAAATGCAAATGCACTTACTTCTTCCTATAGACAGTTTAGTATAAAATTTAATTTATAAAATTATTTTTGTAAAATATTATATCCCAGTCCTTTTTAAATTCCTGTGCCCAAATAGATGACCAATCCCGGATCAGCTGTTCTCGATCGAAGTTCATTCGCAGCTTCACCACGTCACCACGTCGCGTCGAAGTTGATTTACAATCGTTGTTCCTGAATTACAATTAAATCTCAAAAAAAAATTACTAAAAAACTTCAATAACAACTTGAGCAGTATGTAATGACAAATTTTCTTGAGTGAAGAATGACAATTTTTAAGACTTATTTTGTAATTTTTTTCTTAAAACCTCATTGGTGTTCTCCTTTCAATATAAGATCTAATTAGTGAATTGATATTAATCATCTATTTAAGAATTATTTTATATGTTTATCAATTTTTTAAATTAATTTTATTGATATTCTCCCAACAATAATCGAGTATGAGATAGAGGAAAGGAATTAAGAAAGATACTAAGAGTATTTTTGAAAAAATAATATCATATTAACTAATTTAACTAACATCTTCAATATACTCAAATTAGTTAATTAAGTCTTACATGAAGGACCGAAAAATATTTTGTAAGCAATACAATTAGTTTCTTTAAAAAAAAAAAATCTTGTTTCGATAACAACCAGTTTTGATTTTTACAAGACGTTAAATCTAGATACATGGAATCACACCACAAGAATATAAAACTCCCCCAATAACATTTTTCTCACCATACAATAATCGAATTCAAGTTCTCGATTCAAAGGGGCAGGCAGGGACCAAACAGCCTGAACCAACTTATACTGAAAATTACACATGCATGTTCCACACAAGAAATTATTTGCACCAAAAATCGAAGTACACATAATAACAACAAACGCAAGACAATTAACAAGAAGGGCCAAGGAAGAGTAAGAAAATTAATCACACAAATTTCCCAGATTGCTAGTATATGGGGGGGAAAATGTCAGTGTCCATATCTGGTTCACAACTCAAGTACGCGTAATAACAACTACAATAGGACAATTAACAAGATTAATAAGCAATTAACAACACATTTCCCATATTGTTGATGTATAATGACATTCATCAAAGTGTACTTACATTTACTTACTCGCCAACTAATTTCTTGGTACTTGGGAAAGTTTGACACTAAGTACCATGCTGAAACTTTTCATCCATTTATAATTTATATAATCATATTACAAAAAGCCACAATGACAATATTTAAAGTCATCTCAAAACGTCTACATGAGTTGTATATATGCACATAATAGCTGCTTTCTCAAACCATAACGGAAAAAAAAAAGTAATTTGGGATGCATTTATATACAAAATAACAAATAGTTGTCTTTAATTATAACTAAAAAGAGGAATATGTATAGCTATGATGTCGCCTAAGATTGGGGTTTTTACAGGTTTTTTGAGTATATCTACTCTCACTACATTTTGAACAATGATACACTCTTTTATCTTGGAATTATGATTCAGCCCTCTTACTTCTAGGCATATCTCGTGAGTTTATGCAAACTTAGAAAAAGTTAAACAAAGTTTAAATTTACAACTATAGTTGTATATTTACAACATAACATTAGCATTTTCATAACACAAATTTCGGACAAGTCTGTTTAACACCATCAATGTCTGCTATCTTCACCCATCCATTCAAACTATAAACCACATAAATAATAGAATTGCCAATCATTTTCAAAACCTGTGCAGATATGAGGAAAACTTAAAAATCCCATGTAAAATGAACATATACTGAGATTTATAGATAATATATTTTATGGAGAAGTAAGACATAAGAATTCAAATGTAAAATTAATGCTCTCAAATTCATCTCCACGTCCACCGCGTTGAAGATGTGATGATAATACACATTTTAACCGTTAGAAAAAGTCTAAAGAAAATACATGTTGAAAGACAAAGCCCAAGGCCCAAGCCAAATAAACTTAGTTTTATTTATTAAGTAGTTTCTTTTTCAGTTACTCATTTATCTTTCCGTCTTAGATTAGATAGAGATAGATAACAGTATCTTATCTTTAGTCTTCCTTGTTCGGTTATATATATATATGATGTATTCCTTCTCATTTAATAATAAGAGATATACAGAATTGTTCCATTAACTTCATGGTATCAGAGCGGGTGCGAATTCGGCCCTGTTCTTCACGATCTGTTAAAGTCACGTAAAGCCTCCTTGCAACCAGAGGCACTCGGCGACTCAGGAACGTGAACCGGTGACCAAAAGTCTCCTCGCGACCAGAGACATTCGGCGACTTGGAGACGAGAACTTGCAACGTGACCCGAAGTCCCCTCGCGACCAGAGATATTCGGCGACTTGGAGACGGGAACTTGCGACCAGAGCAGAAGACTCCTCGCGACCAGAGATATTCGACGACTTGGAGACGGGAACTTGCGACCAGAGCAGAAGACTCCTCGCGACCTTCGGCGACTCGGAGACGTGAACCTGCGACCAGGAGACTCCTTGCGACCAGAAGTACTCGGCGATTTGGAGACGTGTGCCAGCGACCTGAAACCTCCTCGCGACTAGAGGTACTCGGCAACGTACACTAATTACTGCCTCTCGACGCACCCAGGAACCGGTTACACGAGTCGCGACTTGAAGAACCAGTTACACGAATCGGACACAGACAACGATGACACTTGAGGAACTTCCACCCTTGTTCGGGTCAATGAGACGATCCGGAGGAAACCCAAACGCGCCACCCTCGGCTCTTACAGCAGGTGTAAT